TTCTTCAAAAACAAGATACGCAACCAGCTGCAAAGGCTGATGGAGTGTCGCCAGGCAGACTTGTTATTCCCGACTTCGAGCAGCACAGCTCTACCGTCGAGGTTCAAGAGACAGTGCCTTCTCCCAAAGTGGACAAGCGAAATGCAGAACGGTGGATAACGCACACTTTTTAAACAAGAAGAGCTCCGTTCAGAACTGCCGCCTCCAGTCAACAAGCTGCCAACAGACAAAGTGCAATTCCTTCAAGACCAAGAAACGCAGAGAGTTGACAAGGCCAACTTCTCCACACCAGGAAGGATAATCATTCCCGATTTCAGTCAGGACAGCTCAACCTTACAAACACAACAAACATCTCCGCCTCCAAAACTGGACAAACGCAAAGCCGAAGAGTGGATAACGCACCCAATAAAACACGAAGAGCTAAGATCAGAGCCGCCTCCACCAACCAACAAGCTGACGGCACATAAAGTGCAATTTCTGCAAACACAAGAAACACAGCCAGCCACAAAAGTCGACGGCCCCTCACCAGGCAGACTGGTCATTCCCGATTTCGACAAGCAAAGCTCTACCTTCAAGGTGGACGAAAAGCCGCCGCCTCCCAAAACAGAGAAACTTCATGCCGAACAGTGGATAACAACTACCATTAGGCAAGAAGACCTGCGTTCAGAAATGCCTGCACCCGCAAATAAGCTGACAGCAGATAAACTACATTTTCTTCAAAAACAAGATACGCAACCAGCTGCAAAGGCTGATGGAGTGTCGCCAGGCAGACTTGTTATTCCCGACTTCGAGCAGCACAGCTCTACCGTCGAGGTTCAAGAGACAGTGCCTTCTCCCAAAGTGGACAAGCGAAATGCAGAACGGTGGATAACGCACACTTTTAAACAAGAAGAGCTCCGTTCAGAACTGCCGCCTCCAGTCAACAAGCTGCCAACAGACAAAGTGCAATTCCTTCAAGACCAAGAAACGCAGAGAGTTGACAAGGCCAACTTCTCCACACCAGGAAGGATAATCATTCCCGATTTCAGTCAGGACAGCTCAACCTTACAAACACAACAAACATCTCCGCCTCCAAAACTGGACAAACGCAAAGCCGAAGAGTGGATAACGCACACAATAAAACACGAAGAGCTAAGATCAGAGCCGCCTCCACCAACCAACAAGCTGTCGGCACATAAAGTGCAATTTCTGCAAACACAAGAAACACAGCCAGCCACAAAAGTCGACGGCCCCTCACCAGGCAGACTGGTCATTCCCGATTTCGAGAAGCAAACCTCTACCTTCAAGGTGGACGAAAAGCCGCCGCCTCCCAAAACAGAGAAACTTCATGCCGAACAGTGGATAACAACTACCATTAGGCAAGAAGACCTGCGTTCAGAAATGCCTGCACCCGCAAATAAGCTGACAGCAGATAAACTACATTTTCTTCAAAAACAAGATACGCAACCAGCTGCAAAGGCTGATGGAGTGTCGCCAGGCAGACTTGTTATTCCCGACTTCGAGCAGCACAGCTCTACCGTCGAGGTTCAAGAGACAGTGCCTTCTCCCAAAGTGGACAAGCGAAATGCAGAACGGTGGATAACGCACACTTTTAAACAAGAAGAGCTCCGTTCAGAACTGCCGCCTCCAGTCAACAAGCTGCCAACAGACAAAGTGCAATTCCTTCAAGACCAAGAAACGCAGAGAGTTGACAAGGCCAACTTCTCCACACCAGGAAGGATAATCATTCCCGATTTCAGTCAGGACAGCTCAACCTTACAAACACAACAAACATCTCCGCCTCCAAAACTGGACAAACGCAAAGCCGAAGAGTGGATAACGCACCCAATAAAACACGAAGAGCTAAGATCAGAGCCGCCTCCACCAACCAACAAGCTGACGGCACATAAAGTGCAATTTCTGCAAACACAAGAAACACAGCCAGCCACAAAAGTCGACGGCCCCTCACCAGGCAGACTGGTCATTCCCGATTTCGACAAGCAAAGCTCTACCTTCAAGGTGGACGAAAAGCCGCCGCCTCCAAAAAACAGAGAAACTTCATGCCGAACAGTGGATAACAACTACCATTAGGCAAGAAGACCTGCGTTCAGAAATGCCTGCACCCGCAAATAAGCTGACAGCAGATAAACTACATTTTCTTCAAAAACAAGATACGCAACCAGCTGCAAAGGCTGATGGAGTGTCGCCAGGCAGACTTGTTATTCCCGACTTCGAGCAGCACAGCTCTACCGTCGAGGTTCAAGAGACAGTGCCTTCTCCCAAAGTGGACAAGCGAAATGCAGAACGGTGGATAACGCACACTTTTAAACAAGAAGAGCTCCGTTCAGAACTGCCGCCTCCAGTCAACAAGCTGCCAACAGACAAAGTGCAATTCCTTCAAGACCAAGAAACGCAGAGAGTTGACAAGGCCAACTTCTCCACACCAGGAAGGATAATCATTCCCGATTTCAGTCAGGACAGCTCAACCTTACAAACACAACAAACATCTCCGCCTCCAAAACTGGACAAACGCAAAGCCGAAGAGTGGATAACGCACACAATAAAACACGAAGAGCTAAGATCAGAGCCGCCTCCACCAACCAACAAGCTGTCGGCACATAAAGTGCAATTTCTGCAAACACAAGAAACACAGCCAGCCACAAAAGTCGACGGCCCCTCACCAGGCAGACTGGTCATTCCCGATTTCGAGAAGCAAACCTCTACCTTCAAGGTGGACGAAAAGCCGCCGCCTCCCAAAAAACAGAGAAACTTCATGCCGAACAGTGGATAACAACTACCATTAGGCAAGAAGACCTGCGTTCAGAAATGCCTGCACCCGCAAATAAGCTGACAGCAGATAAACTACATTTTCTTCAAAAACAAGATACGCAACCAGCTGCAAAGGCTGATGGAGTGTCGCCAGGCAGACTTGTTATTCCCGACTTCGAGCAGCACAGCTCTACCGTCGAGGTTCAAGAGACAGTGCCTTCTCCCAAAGTGGACAAGCGAAATGCAGAACGGTGGATAACGCACACTTTTAAACAAGAAGAGCTCCGTTCAGAACTGCCGCCTCCAGTCAACAAGCTGCCAACAGACAAAGTGCAATTCCTTCAAGACCAAGAAACGCAGAGAGTTGACAAGGCCAACTTCTCCACACCAGGAAGGATAATCATTCCCGCTTTCAGTCAGGACAGCTCAACCTTACAAACACAACAAACATCTCCGCCTCCAAAACTGGACAAACGCAAAGCCGAAGAGTGGATAACGCACACAATAAAACACGAAGAGCTAAGATCAGAGCCGCCTCCACCAACCAACAAGCTGTTGGCACATAAAGTGCAATTTCTGCAAACACAAGAAACACAGCCAGCCACAAAAGTCGACGGCCCCTCACCAGGCAGACTGGTCATTCCCGATTTCGACAAGCAAACCTCTACCTTCAAGGTGGACGAAAAGCCGCCGCCTCCCAAAACAGAGAAACTTCATGCCGAACAGTGGATAACAACTACCATTAGGCAAGAAGACCTGCGTTCAGAAATGCCTGCACCCGCAAATAAGCTGACAGCAGATAAACTACATTTTCTTCAAAAACAAGATACGCAACCAGCTGCAAAGGCTGATGGAGTGTCGCCAGGCAGACTTGTTATTCCCGACTTCGAGCAGCACAGCTCTACCGTCGAGGTTCAAGAGACAGTGCCTTCTCCCAAAGTGGACAAGCGAAATGCAGAACGGTGGATAACGCACACTTTTAAACAAGAAGAGCTCCGTTCAGAACTGCCGCCTCCAGTCAACAAGCTGCCAACAGACAAAGTGCAATTCCTTCAAGACCAAGAAACGCAGAGAGTTGACAAGGCCAACTTCTCCACACCAGGAAGGATAATCATTCCCGATTTCAGTCAGGACAGCTCAACCTTACAAACACAACAAACATCTCCGCCTCCAAAACTGGACAAACGCAAAGCCGAAGAGTGGATAACGCACACAATAAAACACGAAGAGCTAAGATCAGAGCCGCCTCCACCAACCAACAAGCTGTCGGCACATAAAGTGCAATTTCTGCAAACACAAGAAACACAGCCAGCCACAAAAGTCGACGGCCCCTCACCAGGCAGACTGGTCATTCCCGATTTCGAGAAGCAAACCTCTACCTTCAAGGTGGACGAAAAGCCGCCGCCTCCCAAAACAGAGAAACTTCATGCCGAACAGTGGATAACAACTACCATTAGGCAAGAAGACCTGCGTTCAGAAATGCCTGCACCCGCAAATAAGCTGACAGCAGATAAACTACATTTTCTTCAAAAACAAGATACGCAACCAGCTGCAAAGGCTGATGGAGTGTCGCCAGGCAGACTTGTTATTCCCGACTTCGAGCAGCACAGCTCTACCGTCGAGGTTCAAGAGACAGTGCCTTCTCCCAAAGTGGACAAGCGAAATGCAGAACGGTGGATAACGCACACTTTTAAACAAGAAGAGCTCCGTTCAGAACTGCCGCCTCCAGTCAACAAGCTGCCAACAGACAAAGTGCAATTCCTTCAAGACCAAGAAACGCAGAGAGTTGACAAGGCCAACTTCTCCACACCAGGAAGGATAATCATTCCCGATTTCAGTCAGGACAGCTCAACCTTACAAACACAACAAACATCTCCGCCTCCAAAACTGGACAAACGCAAAGCCGAAGAGTGGATAACGCACACAATAAAACACGAAGAGCTAAGATCAGAGCCGCCTCCACCAACCAACAAGCTGTCGGCACATAAAGTGCAATTTCTGCAAACACAAGAAACACAGCCAGCCACAAAAGTCGACGGCCCCTCACCAGGCAGACTGGTCATTCCCGATTTCGAGAAGCAAACCTCTACCTTCAAGGTGGACGAAAAGCCGCCGCCTCCCAAAACAGAGAAACTTCATGCCGAACAGTGGATAACAACTACCATTAGGCAAGAAGACCTGCGTTCAGAAATGCCTGCACCCGCAAATAAGCTGACAGCAGATAAACTACATTTTCTTCAAAAACAAGATACGCAACCAGCTGCAAAGGCTGATGGAGTGTCGCCAGGCAGACTTGTTATTCCCGACTTCGAGCAGCACAGCTCTACCGTCGAGGTTCAAGAGACAGTGCCTTCTCCCAAAGTGGACAAGCGAAATGCAGAACGGTGGATAACGCACACTTTTAAACAAGAAGAGCTCCGTTCAGAACTGCCGCCTCCAGTCAACAAGCTGCCAACAGACAAAGTGCAATTCCTTCAAGACCAAGAAACGCAGAGAGTTGACAAGGCCAACTTCTCCACACCAGGAAGGATAATCATTCCCGATTTCAGTCAGGACAGCTCAACCTTACAAACACAACAAACATCTCCGCCTCCAAAACTGGACAAACGCAAAGCCGAAGAGTGGATAACGCACACAATAAAACACGAAGAGCTAAGATCAGAGCCGCCTCCACCAACCAACAAGCTGTCGGCACATAAAGTGCAATTTCTGCAAACACAAGAAACACAGCCAGCCACAAAAGTCGACGGCCCCTCACCAGGCAGACTGGTCATTCCCGATTTCGAGAAGCAAACCTCTACCTTCAAGGTGGACGAAAAGCCGCCGCCTCCCAAAACAGAGAAACTTCATGCCGAACAGTGGATAACAACTACCATTAGGCAAGAAGACCTGCGTTCAGAAATGCCTGCACCCGCAAATAAGCTGACAGCAGATAAACTACATTTTCTTCAAAAACAAGATACGCAACCAGCTGCAAAGGCTGATGGAGTGTCGCCAGGCAGACTTGTTATTCCCGACTTCGAGCAGCACAGCTCTACCGTCGAGGTTCAAGAGACAGTGCCTTCTCCCAAAGTGGACAAGCGAAATGCAGAACGGTGGATAACGCACACTTTTAAACAAGAAGAGCTCCGTTCAGAACTGCCGCCTCCAGTCAACAAGCTGCCAACAGACAAAGTGCAATTCCTTCAAGACCAAGAAACGCAGAGAGTTGACAAGGCCAACTTCTCCACACCAGGAAGGATAATCATTCCCGATTTCAGTCAGGACAGCTCAACCTTACAAACACAACAAACATCTCCGCCTCCAAAACTGGACAAACGCAAAGCCGAAGAGTGGATAACGCACACAATAAAACACGAAGAGCTAAGATCAGAGCCGCCTCCACCAACCAACAAGCTGACGGCACATAAAGTGCAATTTCTGCAAACACAAGAAACACAGCCAGCCACAAAAGTCGACGGCCCCTCACCAGGCAGACTGGTCATTCCCGATTTCGAGAAGCAAACCTCTACCTTCAAGGTGGACGAAAAGCCGCCGCCTCCCAAAACAGAGAAACTTCATGCCGAACAGTGGATAACAACTACCATTAGGCAAGAAGACCTGCGTTCAGAAATGCCTGCACCCGCAAATAAGCTGACAGCAGATAAACTACATTTTCTTCAAAAACAAGATACGCAACCAGCTGCAAAGGCTGATGGAGTGTCGCCAGGCAGACTTGTTATTCCCGACTTTGAGCAGCACAGCTCTACCGTCGAGGTTCAAGAGACAGTGCCTTCTCCCAAAGTGGACAAGCGAAATGCAGAACGGTGGATAACGCACACTTTTAAACAAGAAGAGCTCCGTTCAGAACTGCCGCCTCCAGTCAACAAGCTGCTAACAGACAAAGTGCAATTCCTTCAAGACCAAGAAACGCAGAGAGTTGACAAGGCCAACTTCTCCACACCAGGAAGGATAATCATTCCCGATTTCAGTCAGGACAGCTCAACCTTACAAACACAACAAACATCTCCGCCTCCAAAACTGGACAAACGCAAAGCCGAAGAGTGGATAACGCACACAATAAAACACGAAGAGCTAAGATCAGAGCCGCCTCCACCAACCAACAAGCTGTCGGCACATAAAGTGCAATTTCTGCAAACACAAGAAACACAGCCAGCCACAAAAGTCGACGGCCCCTCACCAGGCAGACTGGTCATTCCCGATTTCGACAAGCAAAGCTCTACCTTCAAGGTGGACGAAAAGCCGCCGCCTCCCAAAAACAGAGAAACTTCATGCCGAACAGTGGATAACAACTACCATTAGGCAAGAAGACCTGCGTTCAGAAATGCCTGCACCCGCAAATAAGCTGACAGCAGATAAACTACATTTTCTTCAAAAACAAGATACGCAACCAGCTGCAAAGGCTGATGGAGTGTCGCCAGGCAGACTTGTTATTCCCGACTTCGAGCAGCACAGCTCTACCGTCGAGGTTCAAGAGACAGTGCCTTCTCCCAAAGTAGACAAGCGAAATGCAGAACTGTGGATAACGCACACTTTTAAACAAGAAGAGCTCCGTTCAGAACTGCCGCCTCCAGTCAACAAGCTGCCAACAGACAAAGTGCAATTCCTTCAAGACCAAGAAACGCAGAGAGTTGGCAAGGCCAACTTCTCCACACCAGGAAGGATAATCATTCCCGATTTCAGTCAGGACAGCTCAACCTTACAAACACAACAAACATCTCCGCCTCCAAAACTGGACAAACGCAAAGCCGA